TAGCTATAATACATAAGGACCTAAAAAAGACCGCTAGAGACAACCTCACCATCTTATGTTTACATGTAAACGAAGCCTCGTTTGCAAACCACCGAGTGAATAAAGCAGCACAAGTAAAATTACGTAGGAAAATAATCCTTTTGTAAAGTTTTCGAATACATATTCTTCCATATTATGTGCAATTTAATGCATGGCTGTTACCGTTCAGCCCAAATTTCGAGTATGTATTCTAACACGTTTTCACGAGAACTGCTAGTCGTTTCTTTCTTTTATGCATTGCTTGAGGTACCTTGGATTAAGGCAACCATATTTTCGTTTGATATGCCCCATTTAAAGTCTGTAGGCATAGACCAACATTTTAAGAGTATATTTGGGCTTAAACCCATCGACCACTGCAAAATATGCCCTTACTACCAACGGATAGGCTGTAGTAGTATATACTGATGCTGTGACTTACCATATGCATATCTTCAGCGTTCGACTCAACGAACAAAAATACCGGGTTTGAAGCTTGAGTGGTCCATGCTTGGGTCTGGGTACGACTGACTGATGACGGCCAATAAACCAGAAATGGCCCTCTAGTCTCCCGTATCTTTTTCGGTATTCCATTTCATTAGTTGCTAGTCCACTGGCTGATCATCTCATGTAATGAGCCCCGAAGTAGGTTGTAGCGGATGAGCAGCGCAAACAAACATTTTGAGGAAGGTTGTTTATTTTCGGATTTTGGAGACGTTGAATTCTAAGAAAGTAAAGCAATTAAGCAGTTGTACAAAAGCCTGTACGCTTTAATACGTCAGCATTTCAGCAATGCAGTTAAAATCGGGTGGGCAATATGACGCAAGAGCATTAGGCGACACACGGTCAGAGCTGAACTTCTGGCTAACAGATATTGGGTAGTCATCAGAAAATGCTTGTTGTTTTGAAAAAGCACACAACACAGAGCACGTGTTCTTCGGTTGCCTACTGATCCTCCATAAGATTTGCTGGTGGGGCTTGCTCAATGTCCAACATAACTATGAATGTCTTACTTGAGCCGTAGGAATAAGGTGCCTTGGAAAGGATGATTTAGTTACCTAATGAAATATTAAAGTTGTCGCATTTATGCCTCGGCTATTCACGGGGTTCAAAAAGGGCCAAATATCCCCGGTATTTCCCACTACCAAGAGGACCAAAATCAGCAGGCCTTCCAGTGATCCAATAAGCTTCCAAGATCTTCATCTTTAACACCAGTGCGTAAATGATAGTTCTTCTGGAAAAGCGAAAACACAAAATTAATGAACATTGAATCGAATAATCTCCTAGTTATATTGTACCTGGTTTATCACTGTTTTGTATGATCTCTTCGACGACTGCGAACAACAAGTATTAAGTGTCCCATTTAATAACTATAGCCAAGCAAATGTCGGCATATTTCAATACCTTTATGTGCGTTGGCTATGATACCGTCCGAGAGAGAAGACAGTGTGGGTAGATGATATGTAAGTCTGATATAAATATAAACGAATCCACACGCAAATCAATTTATTGTTCCAACGATATTGTTGGGTACATGACGGACATCGTTGTATGTGACGATCAAACTGATGAGCGAGAAAAATGATTCAAATCAGGAATTGAGATGGTTAACAATGGAACCATTGAACGACTTCGTTGCACTAGAGGTATTTACGGGCAAAATTTATCTTCAGTCATATGGACGCCAATAGAATAAAGTAATGAAGTTTAGAATGGGGCTTACATTCGGGTGATAATCAGACTGGTCGGACAGAGATCTGTTTGCATTTTGCCTACTACACGCTCGCAGCATCTTTAGGTCCAATTCAGTTCAGTGTATTTAAGGAAATTAGGAATACACTGTTGAGCGTCCTACTGGCGTAAGTATTCGGAAGACCATACTGCGAAGGAATGAAACCGGAATTCACGACATGAGTTACGCTAATTTAAAGGGCATTTCAAAGCACCGAAACAAAACGGGTTTCGTCATTTCAGGTGGGC